TTTACTCAAGCCCAAAAGCTATCATCTTATGCAGTGGTAAAAGACTGATATTAGGAACAAGGTAAGTATGTCCACTTCACCACCACTATTTGACATTGAATTCAAAGTCCTGAACAGAACAATTATGCAAGACAATGAAATAAAAGACATGCACACTGGAGAAAATGAAGGAAAAATACCTATTGGCAGATGACGTGACTACACCTTCATAGAAAATCCCCACCCCCATAGCAAAATAAATAAATTCATGGCAGCATACAAGCTCAGTTGTCAGTCTATACACCAGCAATGAATAATCCAAAAAAAGAGAAATTAATACAATTCCATTTGCAATAGCATTCTCCCAAATAAAATGCCCACTACCAAATATAACCTTGGAGGTGAATAAATTTGAATTTGCTTAGTAGTGGATCTTATTTAAAAATAAATTACCCCTCTGAGTATTGTGTTAATATATGTTCATGAAGAAAATGCAAAGGAGGAAGGAAAAGTGTCATTCATTTCAATCTCCCACAGACAGAGTGTTACATGAGCACTGAGTTTTAAATCCTGGGATCCTATGAGATCTACAGTGTCTTTTTCTTTGATCTCATTAAACCCAACAACTGAAGCCTTTGCTCCATGTTCTTAAAAGTGTATGTCAATGGCACTATAGTATCTTTCCTAGTTTTTAGAATTTTTACTTACAATTAATTTCTACAGTTGTTGGAAAATTTTAAAAACAAAACAAAATTATAAAGTGATTATATTTCTCATTACTTGTTATTAATCATCTTTAATGTCCTGAGGGATGATCCAACATTTCTCTCATGTGTATCTGTAGCCCTGCTTGTCCTATTCTGGGTGGAAGGAACACAGAGGAGCCTTGCACTATGTGGTATGTTGTGTCTGGCTGCTTTTATTAGGTCAATGAGATCACCAAAAGGTCAAGTCCTGGTCTCCAGTGCCCAGCATACTGCCCACTATGCAGGGTATTGGCAGCTTAGCAACCTAACTTTCTTGGGAAAAGGCGTCCTCTGCCAGTCTTGGCCCATGTGCTTGAGTGGGACCCACACCAGTGCCCCCAAAGCAGGGAAGACTGAGGCTTGTCAGCCCATGGACTCAACTTCTAGGGCCACAGAGACTTGCTATTTAGGTCAATCAACATCAAGGGCCAGTTTTGGTAAAAACAAAAGTCAAGAGAGATGGCCTCACTCTGAGCATTTGTAATTTTAAAGGGATGATAAATAACCCTCAGGAAGGAAGCTCGGATGAGGCAGGGCTGCTGTCTGAATTTAGTGGCTGTGGCTGTCACTGTCTTGTGCACGCACAGCCTGCACAGCTGCGTCTGTGTCTGGCCGTGCACACCAAGGGCCTGTGCACCTCGGCTGAAGAAACTATCCTGAAGGACTTGGCAGGATGGTGGTGAAGAGGTGGTGGTTCTGTCATTGGGGACTTGATTTCTGGGGCTCTGGCACCTCTACCGGTCAATACCACCTCCTACATCCCCCCCCTTAGCCTCAGGTTCCAGTCTGGTTTGGGACAGTAGTCTTTTCTGAGTTATCAGCTGTGGGCAATGATGTGGCCACAGTGGATCCTCACACCACGCAGGGGGTGTCAGAGATAGCAGGAGTGGGGGCGGGGCAGCCTTCATAGAATGCGCCACAGAACCAGAAAGGTCTCAAGTATAGCAGTACTTGAGTTTTTTCAGTCTAACGAGGAAGCTTCTCCTGAGATCTTGTGCTCTGTCCTGAGCCTCCCTACTTAGGCTACAACTCCCTTCAAGGAGCCCCTAGCTCTGGGAAGGAATACTGGTAGCCAGTGGTGTGTCCTCTGTGGGATGACCTTCTGGCCCTCCAGCAGCATGATGGCGCTCTCTACCAAAGATAGCTTGCATCACAGTGCTGGGGAGAGGGATGAAGGCTAGGCGGCTTAGGGCAGTGCCCAAGGCCTGGGCAAACTCAGCATTTGTAGTGGTGGAGGCTGGAGACATTCCATTCAGAACTCCCTGCACATAGTTTGCATCAACAGCTTGGGTCAATATAATTTCTAGGTCCCTTCTGTGCCTCAGGCTGCCAGGGGAAGAACTGGCAGTCTGAGCCAATGGTGCCTCCGAGGCCCAGGCAGAAGAGCAATAGCATGTGAGCAATGGCACCGCCCCCACGGCCCAGCCCAAACCCTAGAACAGACAAAAGGGATGATTGAGAGAAGCCCCTCAGCCTCCAGGTAGCCTGGCTGTTCTGTTCCCCCTGTTTCCCCTTCCTCACTCTGCAAGCAGGTTTATGATTCAGCCTGCAGCAGAGCGAGGGTGTGGGGCATTGGGACTTCCATCCTCCCATCTGCAGGCCGGCCAGAAGTGGTGGCACTTTCCCACTCTGGAAGCTCAGCCCTTCTGACAACCCCAAGGCCCCAAGCTGATTGAAGGAGGTCTGATCCCATCTGATACCCAACCCCGGGTTCTCACCAGAGCGCACCACCACCTGGCGTGTAGAGTCTCCAGGAAGCCTGGCTGCAGCTTCCCATTTGGTTACGAGGTTGGAGAAAAAGTCAAAATCCCCTCTAGGGCTGTCCTCCTCATACTCCGCAGCCAGGCTGGGCTAGTAGTAAGCTGCCGGGAATAGCGACCATTGCCCTGGCCCTTGGATAGCTTGGTCGTGCCTGACCTTTCCCAGTCACAGGTTCCTTTGGCCTCACCCACCTTAGACCTTGGGATCTCCAGGTGGGAAGACAAGTCATGAGTATTTTCTGATCTCAGTCATGAGCTAATCTTTCCAGCCCTGGAGGAACAACTCTTTGGTGAAGGATTAAGCTGAGCCGCCACTGGAGAGCAGTAGTTGAGAACAAAGGCTTAGGTGTCAGGCTGCCTGGATTTTAATCTCTGCTCCATCATTTATTAACTTTGTGGCAAGTTACATAACCTCTCTGTTCACAACTTTTGCATCTGCAAAATGGGGTTAATAATAGCACCTACCTCACAGGGTCTTTGTGAGCATTAAATGCTGAAATAGGTGTCAAACAATTAGAATAGTGATGGGTAAACATGCTGTTATTGCAATTATTTGATCCCCAAGGTGAAATACAGAACCAGGAATTCTATTCCTAGAGAACTGTGCTGTGAAAATCAAGGGGTTTGGAAGTAGGTGGAATTTTTCCTGGCACTGGGAGCAGTGTTACCCTCCTTCCCTTTTCTCCAAGGATCCCCATTGATCATGAAAGTACTTGGACTCAGGGGCTAGAAGGTTCCTGTCTGGTAAAACCCCGCACTTGGGCACCTACAGCTAGAAGAGCCTCCCCTCTGCTCCCCTTTCCCCTGACTAAATTTAGGAGCTTATGACTGCCGCATACCCACACCTGTGACTAAGACCCAGGCCTGGGGAGGTCGTGGGGCTTCGAGATGGCTCTCGCCAGCATCTGGGTGGTCTCCAGGCGGCTGCTAAGAACCTCTTTCTGGAAGTTTTCATTCCACCTGCAGGAAAAACGGGAACTAAAAAGCTACTAAATACACACATGCAAATGTGAGTTTTTTCAGTCTAAGGAGGAAACTTCCCTGGTCCAGTAAAACCCTGCTTTGTGGCTTAGAGAAATGGTCTGCCCTCCCGGATCTTTTCTGGGGCATCCAGTGTTACAACTGAGGACAAAGACAGCGGTTGCGGGGTTCAGGGCAGGTGGGTGTGAGGCGATGCGCAGGGTGAGTGGCCCGGGACATGGGTTTGGTTTTCTATCCGGCAGTCCTGTCTCCACAGGTCAGGGGTCTCATCAGAGTGGTTCCTGTCCTCCCTCTGCTCTGATGACTGTGAGCTTGAGCGCCCGGGCTGACCTTCGCAGAGGGTTGAGAATGTTCTCTCCTGCCAGGTTGACCGCGGCATCGCAGGCGGGCAGCCCGGACGTGGCGAGCGCGTCCTGGGGAGAGAGCAGGATGCCCGGAGCCCGCGCCCGCCCCGCCCCGCGCCCGCCCCGCCCGGGCCCGACCTACCCACGAGACCCGCCCGGGCCCCGGGCTCCGGGAGACCGAGGTCACTTCGTGGCCCCTGGCCCTCAGCAGCCGGGTGAGGGCTGTCCCGATGAAGCCCGTTCCTCCACCTGCGCGGAAAACCAGCGGTGCCCATCCTCGGCGGACGCCCGCGTCTCCGCCGCGGCCCCCTCGGCCATCCCACCCGTTTCCAGACTCCCCCGTCCTTCCCGCCCTCCCCGCGAGGCGCAGGTGACCCAGGTCGCGGGATCAGGGCAAGGCCTAATCTCCAGGCCTGGGTACTTGTGCCCCCCTCGGAGTGGCCCCCAGTTTTGCATCTCCGTCTCATCTTCCCTACACCCGCCCCCCACTCCTTTAACTCTTCCCTCACCCACGAGCACCCGCATCGCGACCGGGACCTACTGCGCCTGCGCAGAATTGGAGTCTTTGGCCAGGGCTCCCCTTTAGAAGCGGGCGACCTCTCTGCGCATGTGCCGTTCGGGAAGCGCGCTCCGTGGGGGCGGGAAGAGCAGGCGCGGGGCGGGGCGGGGCCTGCCCCGGACCCGGAAGGATTCAGAGAGAAGTACGCCTATGTCATCGCCAGGCGCGGGAGTGGGGTGGATGCGGGGACAGTCTGAGGGGCCGGGAAAGGGGGGAAGTGTGAGGAGGGAAGATTTTAGTGCAGAAAAAAAGCTCTTGATCTAAAATCCGAAGCTACTTCAACAGCCCAGTTCTGGATGTCCCTCAGTTTGTCGCATCAGTAAATCAAGACAACCCATTCTCTGGTACTATCATTTCTCTCTCCTCGGCCTATCATTTTGCAACAGGGTGGTCCCCCTGTCCTATAACAATTTTATCGTTTCTTCGCCCCCGTGCTGGCTCCTTCCCCGTGCTGGCATTCTAAACCTCTCTGTGTCGTAAAATAAAGTCACCCTATGGGCCCACGTAGGGCCTGGAGGGCCGTCAGGGGCTCCACGGGGCTATGCAAGAGGCTCCACAGAGAGACATTCCCGCCTCCCAGGCGCCATGATCGCAAAGCCAGCGCTGCCCGGCAGCCTTCACCCCATCTCCTTCAGGAGAGCCCAGTCCCTGCAGAGTGATTTGTGGAGAAGCATCCTATTCCGAGGATCACCTTAAACGCAGACTTTGTCTTCCTGGAATTGCCCACGCACAGCCGGAGATTGTGGTCAAACTTGGGGAAGTGTCCCCAGGCCTGGGGTTCCAGGACTCTCAGCTTCACCTCTTGCAGAGTGTGGGAGCCCAGGCTGGGCACATTTGTTCTTCCCCAGCCTGCCACCCGGCACATCTTCCCAGGTGGGATGACATTGAATTGGGGTGCCAGGGGGAGAGTCCCCACTGCCAGGGTCAGGTTGGCTTTCTCCTTGAGCTGTGAGGGGAATGAGGGGCTGTCAGCTCTGGACAAGGGACGGGGGGTAGTAGAGGAAGGTGGGAGGGACAGCACCAATGGTGCCACGGGAGGGTCACATCCAGGACAGATTGTTGGGGTGCAGTCTGGAGGCAGGTTGGAGGTATGGGGACCCGCAAGAGAAGACTGAGATGACAGGAGGTAGAGAAGGGAGGAACATGTCATCACCTTCAGTAACATGATGTCGTGCTGGACACTCACGTCGCCATACTTTGGATGAGGAAACTGTCTTATGACCTTGAGTTGCTGCCACGTGTCTTCCTTCTGTCTTGTGTCATGGGCTCCCAGGACCACCGCTATGAGCCTGTTGTGAGGGGACGGAATGACAAGGGGAGACAGTGATGGTCTGAGTTGTGCCGTTCTGGGGAACAGGAAGTGGAGTCTTTCACTGGGTCACCTGATGCTGCCACCCCTCTTCTCTTGGTCCACTTCTGGCATTGGGGGGGCTCAGATCTTGCTCAGAGATTAAAGTTTTCAGGGATCATATATAATTTCCAGGACCTTGGAGTAGCTGGGGACTGAGCAGTGGCCATGGAGGTCCCAGCAGGGTCAGCACTTCCTAATTCAGGGCGCCCTGTAGGAGCACCACCCACACAGGAGCAAGAGAGATCCTTTGTATGGGAGTTGTGTTTTCCGAGACTGAGGATCAGGGCATCTCTTCAGTGATGTTTGCCCAAGTTTGCCTCCTCTTACGGTTGACCCAGGCCAAGGGCCTCTCCTCGGGTCCCCCAAGGGTGTGCTCCTGGTTCTTACCCTTGCTCTATAGCTCTGGTTTGGGGTAGACAGCCCTGAAGTCTCACCTTCCTGCACAGTGGGCGGCTGTCAGCACAAAGTTCCTTCTTATCAGGAAGCTGTCGCATGTGGCTAGGTTACCCTGGGGAAGGACAATTTCCAGATAGGCCATGTAGGGGCGGGAGTGTGGCCTGGACTCTGTGCCCCCGATGATCTCCCCTGGAACAGAGAACCCAGGCCTGAGCACAAGCATTGGTGTTCTTTCCACAGAACGGGCGAGCTGGGTTCAAGAGGGAGAGGCTTCTCCTCACTCACCCTCACCCTGTGCTCTGCCCATCCTCCCTCTCATATATTTGGTGCCTCCTTCCCCTCCCGCAGCCTCCCACTGAGTTCTCCTCCTGTTATTGAGGCGCAGCAACCATGCAGGTGTTGCTCACCTGGGCTTTCCCCTGGTCCCATTCTGCCCCTGCCTCAGCCCTCCTTTTCACTAAGCCAGCCACTCCAGGCTCCTGTCTCACCCTTCTGCACAGCCTGTGAGTGGTTCTGAACGGCCATATTACCAGACAACGTGCGGTCTGGAATGGAGAGGATGAGGGGAGCCTAGGCCCTCATACATGCTCTCACCTTCTGTGTTGAGAAGACACATATGTCTCCTTTTCTACTTGCTCTGGGATGTCCCCCAATCATTGTGGGGTTTCTGGGAACTATTACAGGTGCAGACAATGGGTGGGCACATCCCAAGTGGAAGCTTCCACTCTGGCTCTTGGAGAGAGAGCCTGGAACCCTCTTTGAGAGTCAACTCTATTCAGACTAAACTTTGTTGTAGGAGCTGATCCTACAGCTTTGGGTGGAAAGGGTCCGAGACTCACCAGCTTTAGCCCTGGAGCACAGGACAGTGAACAACAGGGTGAGAGGAAGACGATGCATCTTCTCAGAGAGGCTGCCCATAGCGAGTGCTGCTTCTATTTTCCAGCTGTGGGTTTTATAATCCATCAAGCCAGGGCAGGGCAGGGCAGGCCGATAACCACAGGAACTGCGTGGTGATTTTCTTCCCTCATTCTAAGCTGACTGTCTTTCAGATTAGCAGCTGCCCCAGAGCTGCCATCTGTTTTATTATAAGTGAAGGGAGGCCTGAACTTCCAAGACCTGGCTTTCAGGGTAAACGCTAAACTGTGGTGCCTCATGGGGCTCCTGGAATGTAGGGAAGAGATGAGTTACTCATACAGCTCTGCCTGACCACCTGACACATCCTATTCTTGAGTTGCATTTCCTCCCTCCACAATTCCCTCAGCTGCCCATGCACTGTTTGAACAATCTTGCTTAGGCCCCCAGGGAATCTGAAAGCTTTGGAACTCCCTGTGGTCCTGACTTTCTTCCTCTCCCAAGTGTTGTTGAACAGAATATACTACTGAAAACTCCCTCAATGATACCCAGAGCCTTGGTCCTATTGCAACTGCTGATCCTCATCTTGTCATTGGTCTCACAGAATTTACTTCCCTTCACACTACTCCATCTTACCAAACGTATCTGCAGATACGTTGTCTAAGAATTGCTTGACTCCAGGTCACAAAGATTTCTTTTTTTTTTCTATATGTTTTATAGTTTTACATTTAGATTTACGACTCATTTGAGTCAATTTTTAAAAGCTGTGAGACTTAGGTTGGAGTTCTTTTTTATTTTCCTTTTTTTTTTTTTTTTGCATATATGTCATGAGAATGATCTGAGGCAATATAGATAAATTGCACCAGATGGGCCTTCATTGGAAGGCAGTTCTTTTCCTTGAATTTTGCCTGGTTTTGTGTTTTTTTTTTTTTTTTAGATTTATTTATTTATTTATACAAGCACTGGGTACAGTCAGAAGCTGATCAGAAGCACGGGAGGGTGAGAGAATTCACCAGAGCCAGAGCAGGGAGCAGAATAGACAGAAGGACCGAAGTACACTGCTGAGGGGAGCAGCGGGCAGCAGGAGAGGTCTGCGCGCCATGTGGGACCCTCCGGGGATCCAACCAGTGCTACAGAGGCTGCGGGCAGCTTCGCAACCCGGTGCTCAACCTCTGCGCCACCGGGGATGCCCTTGCCTGGATTTGATTAAGTGTCCTCTGTACAACTGCAGTGCTGACTCATGGAGACTGTGGGCCTGCAAGGACAATTTGCCTTCCATGTCTTTTAGATCCCCCTGGAAAAATACCAAGTCACAGCACAGTTATTAACTTCACCCATTTCCAGCTTGTAGAAAAGAATTTCTGCCGCGGACTAGTGCAGCGGTAGACTAGCAGGACTGTCTCAGGATTGAAGAACTGTGAGGATGCTCAAGGAATCGGCGCATAAATGACAGACAGACACACTTCAAGAGTGAAGATCTGAATGTAATGTGCTCAAAATCATCATAGACTTTTATATCTTTTCTAACAATAGATGATTTCATACAATTTAATTCTTTCTCAGCATAAGACATCTACTTTGTTATTCATGTTCATGTGATCGATGTTCTATGGCATGGCACAGCAAACAATCTCAAAGTACTGAATCTACACAATCAGTTTTGTTTACACAGAACAGCATTCTTTAAGCTAGCTTTTCTTGATTCGTATCCCAAAACCACAATGATCAAAAACATTGATATTTACCTACTGGCACCTTCTACTTTTAGTGATCACGAGCAATATATTCTCTACGTAAGCATTTTGATTTTTATGGTGTTGTCTCATGTGAGAAGTATTGTGATTATTATAAAACTACTATTGCCACACACTATTTTCTTTATCATGCATTTCCTGACTGATTGTACACATATAAAGAAAAAGCAAAGTAAGCGAAAAAGTAGTATGATTATAGGCAGGCTGCTAAGTTGTTACTGTTTCTGAAACAATGACTATCTGATTAATGGTTAAACTGCTTTGTAGGTAATTCCATCAGGCTTGTTTGCAGGTGACGCTCTTAGCAGCCTTGTTTCCATCAAAGGAGGGGTGAATTACTGCGGGCTTGTTGCCTAAATTAGGCTTATAGGCATGTGGGCCTTGTTTGATCTGAACGCCAAAGTTTATCATGATGAAGCCCCTGGGGACTTCGCCTGTCTTAGGTCGTCAGGAGTCACAGACATGAGGCTGGCCAGTGCCTTCTTTAGTCTGCCCCCGATCTTACCCGTCATTGACTGTCCAGTCCAGCGCACAGGGGAAGGGGGTCTTACTCTGATGTGTCTGAGTGAAAGCCTCCCTCTTTCCAGTAAGTTCACTGGCGTTCAGTGGCAGAGGCTGCCGCAAATTTCCTTGGCCCTAACTTGCCCTTTGCTCATGTCTGCTTGGCTCCTCTTCATTTTGGTGGAGATGCCTGGCAGTGTCCTTCATGATGGTGACTTTGAGTAAAAATTCATCTGAACTATTCTGAGGCCAACTGGAGGCCTGATATGATGTGCCATATCAGATGTGCTGTTCTGGGCAGGACTAGGGTAAGGCCAGGAGGAGATGCTCTCTCTCAGGGTCTGCAAGAGCTCCCCCAAGCAGCTGTCTTCTTCAATTTGCACCCAGGTGCCTCCCTGGCCTGGAGGCAAGTTTCCTGCAGGGTCGCAGTTTCTTGAAGGCAAAGGCTGCAGAGCTGGAGCAGAGCAGGAAACTGGGTATAAAGACAGGAGTAAAGTGGTTATGGAGCAGGAGTAAAGTGCTGTTAGTCTCATTACTGTGGAAAAGAATTTTCTGACACAGACAGGAGCTACCCTCTCTAAATGTATGTTTTTAGGGCCTCCCTGGTGGCACAGGGGTTAAGTATCAGCTCTATCAAGCTATTGCCAGCCACTGTGGCCTGAGTTTGATCCCAGGCTAGGGAGGTGACCCACATGGCGCAGCAGACCTCTCCTGCTTGCCCCCTGTAAGGCAGGACTGGGCACAGTGCAGGTTTTCTGATCCCATGCAGACCGGGTAAAGGAGGAGTCAGAGTCCTCAGTAGTTTTGCAGGTCTTTTATTGGGGTTCACCAGGCATATGGCAGGCAGGGGTGCTGGCTGGGGGGCTGGGAGGCTGGCAGCCTCCCAGCCCCCAGCAAGTCTTCACTCTATCTGGGCTCTCTAGCATTCATTCTGCTGCTTCTCGACTTCTGCTTTGGCTTCTACTGCTGCTGCTACTGGCGTCCCCCCGTGACGCCGCCCTTAAAAGCACAGTCTTAGCTCAGCTGAATCCCATCTACCTATGCCCACACCCTATTCCAGGTGCCCGCCATCAGGCATGCATTCAGGACTAGGATCCATCATCTATCCTGATGGCGGAAGGGCAGAAAAGCCTGATATTTTCTTTACCCTACAGTCCACCCCCTCAGGGTTTTCTGCCATATAGTCTTCATACATACACAATTTTCCTTAACAAACATAATGCAGCCATGGCCCACAAAAGCAAATGCATCAAATATGACAAAATACAATATAACAAAATACAACAGAACACAAATAAGTCCAGGCAGGGCACCAACCTAGTGCAAAAGACAATTATTGGTACCAGCAGATAAGCCACCAAATCTGCTGCCGAAGGCACTGCTCATACGAGGGAGGGGAATCACTCACGGCATCTACTGTAACACACCAGGAGCCGTCAGGCTTCCTGGCCTTCTCTGGCTGTAGTCTCGGCTACAAGCCACACACTGCATCCACCCCCAGGATGCACTAGCTCTGGGATTGGCAATTTTATTCTGTTGGGGTAATCGCCAACCCTCAGGGTTTCTGTCTGCAGTTGCTCCAACACTCGGCCTTCACAGCCACCCATGCGACTCGCAGACCCCTGCACTCAAGCTAACTCACTGCACAAGCACATGGGTTGGGG